AGAATACGGCCTTCTACAATAAAACTATGGCGAAGGACAGTTGAAGGGATCAGTTTTTGCCTTTTCGTTATATGGAAGTCATGAGACTTTCACAAATTATTTACGTATATTCGTAAGTGAAAAAGTTAATTTTTTTTTCATTTTCTCGATCTTACATCTAATTACGTTTCCACTCCTGGCGGAAAACAAAGTTTTACTCGATTATTCTTGTAAACTTATTGGAGTAGCAGAAAAGGGATGAAGGACTGATAAAAGAAAAAAATATCAGAAACAACCTATGTACTGAACTGCGTGTCTTCCTACTAAATAGGATTGCTTTTGAGCAATTAATATCTTCGACGGTCCAAGCTACTGCATTGTTTTCATGATTTCTTTGAATGGATCCGATTTCTTTAGTTTTAAATGAGTACCACTCAGTGGGAATGAAACAGGACTGCACATACCCTTGCCACATAGTTATTGACTTCGGTTTTAAAGTAAACCCCTTCTGGCCGAAGACAGAAACAGATATCAGCAGCGTACTATAAATTTCATAATAAAGAAGAACGCCACAAATGGCCTCCATTCATGAGAGTGTAAGGGAGAACGACATTTAAACGGGTGCAGATTTTTGTTTCTTCTTTTTTTTAGTATTAAACGTTGCAGGCATTGTATTCAGTCATGTAACCGATTGCAGATGCCATCTTCAGTTCAGAACAATGACAAGACAAATTTGGGTGACGTTAATACGCGGAATTTCTAGAGTCATAACTATTCATATAGTACAACGGCAATTATTTTCAGTCCATTTTCTGAAACCAGCCATCACGCTCGAATTCACGGTATATCTTGCCTACAAGATATCTTGTTCCGTTTATACGCTAAACAACACCATGCAAAGATTTCGTAATAAATTACGTAAGGTTCATGCAAATCTGCTCCCACTCAACTATCTCGTCCGGGGTTGGAATCGATGTATCTTTATTTTAGACGACGGCGTTTCAAACGAGAAACACTTTGATGTAAAATGTAAAGGTAGGATAACTCATATATCAGGTATAGAAGGAGGCAACACCGATTGTTGCCTGTTTGAATAGCAGTAAATAGTCGTCGATTTCTGATCCACGATTCAAGACAACAGTTATAAATGGCGATGGAAAATCTGTTATTAACCGATGCGTTTCGTCGTCGCACACATTCTTCTTCATCGAGGTAAAAATGTACAAATGAAACAGCATGAAAATTTGACATTCATGTGACAGCGTCATTTGTTCCAGTTCTTCTTTAGAACAAACCCTTGACGTTCACTCCTCATTCAGCTATCACTAAAATTAAATGAGCTTGGTACGTTCGTTGCAGAGTCGATCTTGTA